CCCGCCACCAATGTTTATTATTATTATTACTCTCACATTTTTGTAGACTTTATCCTAATCTTCATTTTGTGCTACCAACGATCCCAAACTTTTCATAAATACGTAACTAGAGTCCAAAATATCCATTTGACCGTTAGTTGACCAAAAGTCAAATGGTTAACTGAATTTTGACCAATTTTAAAAGATTAAAATGGTGAATTTATATTTATTATAATAAAAAAATTAAAATAAAATGAAATAAAACAAAATAATTAAATCAAAAAATTAAAAAACCAAAATCCAATTCGAAGGGTCAACTCTCCTTCCTTACCTCAAAACTAAACCCAAGTCGTCGCCACCACCATCCACAAGACTCCGGTTATCGCCACCAAAACCTCCACTCTTCAAGAAATCAAGACCAAAACCTTCACTCCTCAAATGAAAAAGTTGCAGGGAAGCTGAAGAACAAAAAACTCGGGACTGTTGAAAGAAGAAACTCGCGAAGCCGAAAAAAAACTCGCGACGATGACAGCATAACGTCTTCATCTGGGATTTGACAAAATCCTGTAGTATGTCCTAATTTCCAATAGTATGTCCTAAAATCGAATGGGATTTTGAATAGTTGGCCAGAGCACAAAGGTTTTCGATTTATAGTGCAATGCAGTTTTTCCATTTACAATGCAATGGTGTTTTTGGGTTTCGACTTTTATGTGTTTTGGCTAGTCGATGGTGACTGTTGTTTTGGAGGAGTAGTTGAAGGAGGAGACCCTTTTTTGGCCAGTCAATGGTGTCGTTGGCTCGGCGATGGCCGGTGATGACAAAGAGGGTTTAGTTTTGAGGTTGGGGATGGGTGAGGTGAGGTGGGGTGGGAAGGGGTGGCATGGGGGGGAAGATAACCTTTTGAAAAGGGTTTTAGTTTTTAAATTTTTTGATTTAATTATTTTATTTTAATTGTTTTATTATATAAAATATAAATTTACCATTTTAACCTTTTAAAATTGGTCAAAGTTCAGTTAACCATTTGATTTTTGGTAATTGGACTCCAGCTACATATTTATGAAAGGTTTAGAATCGTAGGTGGCATAAAATGAAGATTATGATAAAATCTACAAAAATGTGAAAGGTTAGGGATCACTGCTGCAATTTTCCCTAGTTTATATGGAAGTAAAATTGTTGGATTTTTGTTGCTTTATTGATAAATACTAAATTTTTGACTAAATTGTTGTGTCTCGTCATCTTATCTTGGATAACTTCAATTGTTGTCGTCTTATTAACTTATTGTTGAATGTTGTTGCCATATATATATATATATAATTTTTGGATGTTGAATTGACAAAATAAGTCACTCCTATTTGTTCTATAGTACAGTAACAAGAGGATATTTTGGTTTAAGCCCCTGTTTGATTTTCATTACATTACATTACATTACATTACATTCTATTTTTCTCTCTCCTATTTTCAACCACACAATCTTCCATAAAATAATATTACACGTAAATCGAAAATTTTTCTTTCTTTTTCAACCACTCATTTTTCAAAAAATACTATTCTATACATTAAATTTTCCCCGTAATGGGGGTCAAACAGGGGCTAAATCATTGAGTGTCACGTGTAATACGGCTTTTGATAACAACAATTCATCATAATTATATCCAAATTGGGAAACCTAAAAATGTATTCTGCTGCATATTAATTAGGGAATTTGGGAATAAAAATTCTACATAATGTTCACCAGAAAAAAGTATAGATAGACACGACTTTCCCTTTTCTTTAAACTTCTTCACAATAAATAAATGGTTACCCATTTTTCGTTATAGAAAAATAATATCTATTTTTCTTCTTGTCGATGTCATAGAAAAATAAAACGAGTTCATAATTTGTTACTAATATCCGATTCTATCAAATCTTTATATTAACACAATCACGAAGATAAATCTTAAAAAAAAAATTATGATATTAAAATCCTCCGTCTTATTTCAACGTCGCATGAACCCCATAAGCGTTTCAACTTCTAAATTAAATAAATTGATAAAATAACAATGAAATGGGGTTGGATTCCCAACACTTCACGTAATATGGTTACGAGTCTTCGATCTTCAAAATTGAAATTTTGATTCCTCCAACATATTTGAAATTGTAAATTTCAAACCCAAGTAAAGAAAATTATTAAATTAAACGTTATAAATCAAAATTGCATGTGACTTCAAGTTAAATTGGATATAAATGTTAAGTAATTTGACAACTATACCCTCTAATTATGAGTCATGTGAAAATCACGAACGATTTTAATATCTACATCAGTGATTTATGTTACTTGAGAACTCAAATTAACAAATTTAAATAAGTTGAGAACTTAAAATCACAACTTAAAAAAAAAAAGAAAAAAGAAAAAAGGGTTAGAATCACACATCGTAAAAGATTATGGAACCTAAACCTAACTTACCCATTTAATATTTGCTCAAAGTTCCAAAAAAGGAATAATCATAATTTATTTCGGAATATATGTATTATAGTACTACTAAGTAGTAATTAATGAAAAAAGATTATATCCTTCTCAATTATACTGAATCTTGAAAAGTGAGGAATGGTCCTGACATTCTGGTTCCTCGGTACAAAAAATTTAGGCCGTAGAATTTCAGTACCCAAAAAGATACATTATTCGATCCGAAAACTGTGACGTGGCAACAAGTATCAAATTTCCCATCATTCTCCATCCTTCGTTTTTAAGCAATTAGGATTTTTCCCCCTTTCTTTTTTAACGTTTCATACACAACAACAAAGTAAAAAAAATCAATAATTAAAGTAACAACAGTATCAAGAATAAAAATATTAATAGAAAATAGAAAAAAAAGTTTTTTTAATATTAATTTTTTAATTTTCGGTCTCATAATTCATTGTGCTACTTGGTTTCTTACAAATGTCAACAAGATTCCGGCTGTTTGATGAGCCTGTCCATGTGTATATTGTGTGTGAACATATCTAAATCTATATATTAGCCATTCAATTCACTCCTTATGAATCATATTCGCGAAGAACACAATTCTTAACCATGGCGGAGGATCTTCACGATGGCGGGAACTGGTGTTGTTCATCAAGAATTGCACTTGGTTCTTCTCCATGTTCATTGGCAATCAACGGTGTAGAAAGCTTTGGATGGCCAAGTGATCATCATATGATGAACATGAAGACTACAGGATCTGGTGATAACGAGTCTGGTTCAGCTTCAGATGGCTCTATTGTTCTTCAGGAAATGCAGAAACCAGACTCAATCCTAGAAATGATGGGAATTACCCTTTCACCATCCACAGCAACTGATAATTGGAATCAAGATTTATTGTAAGTTTATTGAACCAATTCTTGCTTCTTCTTCTTCTTTTTAATTATTATTATTATTTCAACTTCTGTCCCACTAATCAATACCCTTAATAGTCCAAATATTCAGTGCTTGTAAAAAGGTGGGCAATTCAGACTTATTTTCTTGTAATCATATGAAAAAGGAAGTCAAGTTGATCCAAGAAATTCATTTCTTTCTTCTTGTCATTTTGCAGGAATGCCAATGGAAATTCTCAAGAAAATTATTCCCACATGCTACAACAAGACCTCAATTCCAGCGTGAATTGTTTGCAACAATTTGGCGTCGACTGTTGTCAAATCCATAAGGACTGGAATTCAAGAAACATTTCAGGGGTTGTTGAAGATTTGTCCATAAACTCAATCAAACAAATGAATCATGGTTTTGAGGAGCCCTTGGCTTCAATAACTAGCTCCAATATAAGCACAGAAACTAGTCGAAGTTTTTCAACTTGCTTGCCATTGAATTCAGCTTCGTATGGCTACACTTCAGCTTGGCTAGAAAGTTTACTCAATACAGATTCTCAGCCGCAGCAATCTTTATTGAAAAACTCGAATATGAACTTTAGACCTACTAATTCTTTGCAATTATCGAAGAACACACCTCCCTGGACTGCTGCTGCTGCTGTAGCTTCAAATGACACAGGAAATTTTTTTCCTTCAACAAAATCCCAGTTCCTGCCATCAGCTCTTGATACGAAACTTAATCTTCCCAACCTTGCTGCAAAGGTGAATCGAGACTGTTTATTTATTTATTTATTTTTCTGGCATGTGACTAGGGTTTTTCAGAATTGAAAAATTCAGTAATATCTCTAATTTTCAGGCAAACAAAACGGCTCGAGACTTGAACTCAATAACAAATAAATCCTGCAATGAGCCTACATTCAAACGTCCGCGACTTGAAACACCATCTCCATTACCAACATTTAAGGTACTAATAAGCTTATGCCTTTAATTAGGATTTTTATTTTTCAAGTGAAAGAATTATAATATATTTGTGCATAGAAATGGACAATGACTTTCAGCTTTTTCATCAGGTCCGAAAAGAGAAGTTGGGGGACCGAATAACTGCTCTCCAGCAGTTGGTTTCACCTTTCGGAAAGGTAAAAATTTGGATTTTTTTCCTAACTTTTTGACAAGTGCATTATTCTTTTGTAATCACTGAATGGTTGTCGCTTTTCCAGACTGATACTGCATCTGTTCTACAAGAAGCAATTGAGTACATCAAATTTCTCCATGATCAAGTCAGTGTATGTTCCATTTTCTTGAACATTTATTACGAATACTTTGAAATTTGATTTTTTTATTTTTATTTTTTTCAAATATGTTGGTGTCTCCTTGCTATCAGGTATTGATTGCTCCTTACAAGACAAATGTACCTCCTGTTCAACGCCAACAGGTAGGACCTAAAGCAAACTCTTAACTTTTCGATATTTTCAGGCAGATCATTATATGTTCATACTCATAGGAATTTGGGATCATCAATCATATATTTTGTTCAGACTGCTGGGAAGCTTAAGAATCAAGAAGGGTCGGAACTCAACCTTAAAAGCCGAGGTCTTTGCCTGGTGCCCATATCAAGCACCTTCTTGATTTCAGCTGAGAATACATCTGACTTCTGGACACCAACATTTGGAGAAAGATTCAGGTAGAGAAGACTATTAAGCAAAGGAAGATAGAGAAGTAGAACTGATTGTCAACAAGTTAAAAATGGATAAAGAGAAGAATTGGAAGCATGGAAGCCACATTGTCTGCAAGTATACAGGAAAAGCATGTCCAAGAAAAAGAGAGACAATGCTGGACCATCTAATGTAGGCCAGAGAATGATTCGGTGGAATTAATAATCATAATATCGAATTTTCATAGTAATATTTGTGTTTTAGTTGATAAACGTGCTTTACGAACAAGAACAGGAACAAGTGCTAAATTTAGCTGAGTTTTAGGACAGTATGAATTATGGTTGTGCTGAATTTAGCAGCTTATGAAGGGGCTTTTGTTCCTGTTTCTATATTTTCTGTAGGGTATCCCCAACTTTTATTTATGCAAAAGATGAAAAAGAAATTGAAAGAAGAAGAACTAAATGTGTGTGTGCAGCTTTTTTCATTTTTGTAAGATTTAATTTCTTCAATAATTTAATTGGAATGCTGTAGTGCAAGTCCAAATGTAAAGGTGAGGGCTGGTCTACTTCACCATTGTTTGTTTAGCCATGCACAGTAGAGGATAGCCCAACCTTACCTAAGTCTCCGGCCGCTAGCCAGCCATATGAAGCTTTTTAATTTTTCTTTCACAGCATCTCCAATTGCTGTGTAAAATAAATCTCCGAAGTGGCTGAAAATTGCTCCAATGGAAAGACGCAATGAAAATACAAATTGCATTTTCTGACGGTGCAAAGAAAATACAAATTGCATTTTTCGATGAAAAATGTGGAAAAAGATTATCTTTCTTTACATCCGCATATGTAAAAAGTAGATTTAAATCTTCCCATTGAAGCAAAATTTAAATTTTAATCCATCGAGATGTAAATGAGGATGCAAAAGTGATTTTGAAGATAGAAATTTACACCCAATTTTAAACCACCATTTGAGATGCTCTCAGATCATTTTCTTGGACGATTCGGCCTGACTTACCAATGTTGCAGGTGGATTTGTTATCTAAGAAGATGAGATTAGCTGTTCTATTTTACACTTCTAAGCTAAATTCCTATTCTACCTATAAGGTTTCACGAAGTTACATTGGGTTGGGCAATGTAGTGTTCATACATCTGCCTTCATATAATCTTTGAATATTTAGTGCAAAAAGGCATGTTTAGCATGTTAAACTATGAACACTTGATATAAGAAACAATGTCATGATTGTAGTATATATTTATATATTTTTTAGTGGATCGTGCTGATAAATAATTATTCAAGTGTTCAACACCTAAGGCTTGAATTATTAGGCTGATAGGTATAGAGTTTCATCTTGATTCATGGATTATTACCTCTCTCGATCCAAGTCTAAAAAGAATTCAATTTTTGTTCTTTATAGAGCGTGGCTTGGTTAAAAAGAGGCAAAAAGAAGAAGAGACGTGAAGAAATTCTCCAAATGGATAAGTATCTTGGTATCATTGCTAAGTTAGAAAAAGTTATTGCAATCTTGCTTTGATAGCCAGCAATGCTTTAGCCTGTCTTGGCTAATCATGGCAAAAACTCTGTCTTCTTTGAGAAGTTTTACCATTTTAAATTTTGCTTTTTCTGCGTGCCAAGTATGTTGGACTTGATAAGATTGAACGCCAATATACGTTTATATCTTATGTTATCCAATATAACCCAATACAGAGCAACAAAGTTGCACAAACGTTTCTTATGCATTGCCAACTAAAACCAAAAGCCTGTACAAATTCTGGAGGCAATTTTCTTGCAGGGCATCCATCTGATTCTAATAGAAATTATGATAGCTTTACACTAGTTTTTTTTTTATAGATAATAAGACTCTGCATTATGTAAAATGCAGCACTGATCACATTCAATTTAGAGTTAAAAAATAAAAATCTAATTCTTGTTACAATAAATCTGCTTGTATAGAATTGCAACTGCTAGAATTTCACCAAAAGCAGATGTGGCAATGCTTGGTTGGTCCGCTGTTTTTTTTTTCTTCTTTTTTTCTTTGCCATGTCTAACAAAAATCTGCCATGTGTATTCTGGTAAAATTCTGGCATAATTTTTTTGTACAGGCAACATGACTGTTCTTGTTGAGAAGGCGGACAGGATAGAGGGAGCATTATTCGAGTAAGTTTTTCCTGGTTTTGATTCTGATGGTGAGTTTATCTGATTTCAATTCACATAACCACTTTAAACCAAATTATGAATGCTGAATAGCTCTAGGTACAGTATAAAGAAAATCTCATACATAATCAACACTAATCTTCAACTAGAAAAGGAAAGTTTATTGTGTTGAGAAACTATTACAATTATTTTGATGAAAATAGATGCAAATTTGAAATTGAAACAGAACTTTGATAGGAATAGGAATAGGAATAATACTGAAGAGTATGAATGATGCATTTCACTTGTAGAAGAAAGAGGAATTAGACAGTTCCTTTTAGCTTCTTTGCAATGGCTGCAATGTGCTTTCCTTGGTGAAAAGCTTGCCCCAATTCAAGTTCTGTAGGCTGTCTAGAACCATCTCCAGCAAAGGTTCCAGCACCGTACGGGCTGCCACCCTTAATATTCTCCATCTCGAACATGCCGGCCCCAAAAGTGTAACCAATGGGCACGAAAATCATACCGTGATGGACAAGTTGGGTAATGGCTGTTAAGCTGCAGAGTAACGAAATCCCAACTCAGTCTTTTCTTCTTAAATTTCTTAACACGTTAAGAGTTCAAAAGGGTAGTAGAGGCAGAAGAAAAGCTTACGGGGTAGTTTCTTGTCCACCTCCTTGTGACCCGGTGCTGTAAAAGATGCCAGCAGGCTTCCCTGCTAGTGCCTGGGTCCTCCATAGGCCCCCGGTCGAGTCAATAAATGCCTTGAATTGAGCAGCCATCATACCAAATCTAGTTGGGAAACCAAATATGATTCCATCGGCCTCGGTGAGCTCATTTGGGGTAATGACCGGCACATCACTCTTTGGTGGTGCACTCATCTTTGCAAGAATCTCGTCAGAAAGAGTTTCCGGCACCTGTTACCATTGCAACTCGTATAAATAACAAAAAAAATACATCTTGATCTTCATATTCTTGTTATTAACTATTACAAGTTGTTTCTGAATAAATAGAAGGCAAGGACTTTTTTGACTCCGAAGGTTTTATGGTAAACTTTTAAGAATACGGAAATTTCACCCCAATGAAATTTGTAGATGTAATTCGAAACTCCCTTCAAAAGCAACATCGGAGTGCATCAAGAAATGGAATCTTTGAGATGAAGCTATTACTAAACAACTCTTAAGCTAATCACACAAGGATTCACAGAGACGGAATAGCTCGAGCCATATATTGCCCTTAAATTTGTAATGAAATTTGTTTCTACAAAACCATGTTCGAATATCAACTTTTGTCGTCCTTTCAACCAAACTATCAAACGAATCATCATTAGTTAGTTTCTAATTATTCTGCATCCTAGAAAGAAGCAATTACAAAGACTTGAGTAAGTGAGGATCTTCAGTTAACAATTGAAAAATTAGAACCCAAAAAAACAAAAAATCACAAACCTGCCAAAGTTTGGCCTCTACTCCTTCAACAGATTCGGCTCCTTTCTTGATCTCCTGAGCTAGTCCCTCGACATGTCCATATGTAGAATAGTATCTGCATCATAAATTGAAGTTTGTTAGCTAAGAATTTATATGACTAAAGATGTCAATAGGTAAGTTCTGTCACATACACTTTCTATTACTTTCAAAACTTCGAATGATGCAAGAATCAGTAAGGTGCCATCAATATAATACATGCTAATAACCAGTTGCCTCCATTGCAACTAATGTGGGTGATAAGAGTATCTCCAATGGTGGCGTAAATTTGGGTGTAAATTGATATCTCTAAAATCACTTTTGCATCCTCATTTACATCCTGGTTAATTTAAATTTAAATTTAAATTTTGCTCTAATGGAAGGATCTAAATCCACTTTTTCCTTCTTGTGGATATCAATTGTGCATTTATATATATATAAATGCAATTTGAATTTCCTTCGCATCTCTGCATTAGAAAGGTTTCCGGCCACTTCAGAGATCTAAATTACAATGCAAATCTATTTTACACCACGATTGGAGATACTCTAAGTACTATGAGCTGTTAGATACATCTATGGGAATAAGAATATTAACTCTCTCTTAAATTAGCACGTACATCTAGTCTTGCACCTCAAAAATGTTAAGTATATGATTATAGAATATTGATAGAAAAACCCCATCAGTTAAAAAGACGTAAATATCACTTTTTGGTGCATAGACAATAAGAAAGGTAAGATGTCCCAAACTTTTACAGAGATTTGATATTGGAATTTACTCTACATATTGCAGAAGCCACGGTGCATAATCCAAACCATCTGGCTGGCAAATTCTACTTAACTATTGGATGACCTTTAACAAAACAGCATATGACTCCCAGGGCCTATTTAACCTCGGTTTGTCTCCCTTTAAAACAAAACACTTTAATTCTCGTAC